GGTCCAGGACCAACACCCGCACAACCAGTGTAGCCTGCCACGGCCTTGGAGGTGCTGCAAAAACATTAGTCAAAGCCCTCGTGGAACTGGTCCAAGCCGTTCTGTGAACTTACCAATCCATGATACAACCCTTATCCTTGCCGCCCTTGCCTTTGTCGCCCTTGTCTCCGAGGCCCTGGTCTGCTCTTCTCAGCAGGGACCTTTTGGCGGCTCCGCAGGCGTCTATACACTTGACGTGGTCCGCGGCGGTTTGTACCTCGCAGGAAGCAATAGCACCTCCCTCCTTCTTGCCTCCTTTGTCCTTACCGCCGTCGGCTTGTAGGTAGGCTGGCGCTGGTGCGGCGACGACGAGTGTGGCGGCGAGGAGGGTGAATACTGTTGAGAAACGCATGTTGAAAGTTGTGTGAGACTGTTAGAGTCTTGCTGTGGAAGGCGCTTTGAGCTTGGCTAAGTTGATAGGTTTGGCTCGACTCTGAGATATTGAATAGTCTGTAATCGTGAGTGGTTGGCTTGATTGCGCGTGCTGATTCGGAATTGAAGCTGTGGTTTGAGTAGTGTCTTCTGGGTTTTGTTTGTTGTGAATGTGGTAGACAGTATTTGATGCTGATCAACGCTCAAGCTGTGGAGGGGAGTTTACACTCGTTTTATAAAGATTCTGGTAATGATGAAAGCCCCTTTCTGACTTCTCCTTGGTTCTGCGAATGCGATCCCGTCATACCATGTCACGATGGACATTACCTCAGAGTTCAATCAACACCCAACGGCCCACATGCACCTCGAAGCCTATTTTGATCAGTCCCTGGAACGCCAGTGGATGACGTCCATTCATGCTCTCGCATTAAGCATCCGCTTTAGGCCGTGGGGCACGGATTTAGACTTTAAAGGGCCCGTTGGCCGTTGTAAATTTAGTAGGAGAGCAGGGATGGTCTGTACGGTCTTTACCCATACAACATCGGACGACCAAACAATCCGAATACGCAAAGGGAGCAGCCGCAAGGCGCCAAGGCCAGGAAATCGACGGTGACTTAGTGGTGGCCTTGGGCGAGTTTGGCATAAGTGACGCGTCTGTGTGTCTTACTTCGGATGAGATGCCGAATGATTGACATGTAAACCAGGATGAGATTGTCAAAAATATGGTAATGATATCAGGGTTCCACCTCGCTGGGAAAGAACCTCGGAGGATTTTACGAGGCCCGGAGCAACATGTGAAGGCTGTCGTCTTGAACTTTCAATTGCACCATCTAGATTTTCAGTCGAAAGTTCCCCGTCTCTGGAAGATTCAAGCATCATCAAGTCAGGAGATCACGTTCGATCGGGGTTTTGATTGGTGGCCTAGGGCTATCTCACCCCTGGCAAGATACTAGAGGACCTTATTTACATCGGCTGGTCTAGAGCTTCATCGTATCGAATGTGATGGAACCTCGTCATCGTCGATCAACGTTTCCGGGTACCTGGGAGAGTCGTCATAGCCCAGCGAGCGACTGTTCGGATGGCCAGCTCAGTCTAAAACCCCTAGTACCTGCATGCCGAGGAAGATCAAGATTGAGAAGCCACTTCGCCGGCCTGTTGCAGCCTCACTCTGACTGGACTCTGAGATCGGTAATCCTCTGGTTGTTTTGAATCATCGGACACTTACAGACGAGCTTTCATCGCACGCTTCTCGTTCAGTCCTTGTGACCCCCTTCCCGTTCATGCAAGCACAAACTCATGTTATCCGGTTGCCCCAAGATTCGATATTTTTTTGACTGCGAGCACGAGAGGTCGGGACATATCCCCACTCCTGGTGAGGAGTGACTTCTGTGATGGAATGATGCGTTTCTACCCTCGAAGTCGGCACTCATGTTCACGCCGATCGAAGTAGACGGAATAAGTTGGATTATCTTGCGAGTCAATCGCATGATATCCAATGATAGCGAGTCCTAATGGTTGCTTTGAACTGAATGGAACTCACATGCTCATTTCGACTTCAAAGGACGTAGCGTGCCGTAAGTTATGCTTCAAGTGCTCACTGGCCTGGCCGCCTGGATCTTGTGTTCCAAGAATACGCTTTTTGGTTTTATACGTTTCTCTCTTCAATTCTCCATCTCTCTCACTATCATTTAGCATCTTTATGGAATCTCAAGGACCTCAAGTCGATGTTGTAATAAGTCGAAGCGAAGTTATCTACCGACGATGATTACAACTTATGCTGAACCTCAGTGGGGCCTGTGACTGAAGTATGCACGTTGTGATGGTCAATTGTTCGAAGCTGCCAGATTGTAAGGTTGCATAGAAGATCCCCTGATCTAATAGCTAATTGCAGCTTGTTGAAGTCGTTTTGAGCCTTGCAGTCAGCCAAAGGCGATCATGTTGATTAGAGGCTGTGAGAGGTTAACAGGTGATGGGGCTTGAGTTACGGCTTCGGTTTCAGAGACATTTCCTAACATTGAGTCGACGGAGAACCCCGTTACCATCTCAACGACTTCAATCAACCTGCATTGGGCAAGTTGAACACTATTGTAGACGATGCATCTCGTGGGGCAAGAAAAGATGCACAGCCAGTGGTTCCCCAGCCTCCAGCCATTCAGCCATTCAGCCATAAGAAGCTGAGTTTACTTGGCATTCGACTATTGAAATATCAATACAATGAACTGCATCACGCGGACTGGTCGCGGCGTTCCCCTCAACCGATGCCCGTGGTCTTGGCCCTGTCGATCACCGCGTTGAGCAATCGCTTGAACCTGATGATCAGCAGGTTTTCCCGCCTTGGATGCGGGGTCACTGTGGAGGTTCCCATCGACAATCACCGTTACAGTGTGATGAAGAAGCTGGGGAAAGACGCTATGCTCGGCTCCGAGATCCCCACAGTGGTCGTTTGATTGGAAGACTAACCGAATTCAACCTGTCGAATGTGACGCTGTATAACCTGGAGATTCTGCTCATTCGCTTCATACTGACCCGAACCAGTGTTTCTATATGCGCAACAACCAGAGAAATTCCCAATGGCTGGGCAACTACGTAATCTGTTCTGACATGTAAGTTGCCAAGACATTGGCATTGGACCTTGAGCGTGTATACAAACATCGTGAATGCCGCGCAACTTTGGCACGATGCTCGAACTTCAAGTTCGCATCTCGAGTCTTCATACTCCAGCAAGTAGCTTCATTGAGACTCAGAGTCGCGATGCGTGCCTCACCACTTGCTTTGGCCGCCGCCCTCACCGTGGGCGGCGTAAACGCTGCCCTGAGTATTGTTCCAGGGGCAACATGGACCGCCGTGAGTGGACCCCAGTCGCTCGAAGAAGCTTATTCTGACTCGCCTAACCACAGACGAATACTGGAGAGCATGTCCAAGCTCATGGCGCAGGTATCATGTAAGTTGAACGCAGCCCTCACGCTTGTTGAAATATGGCAATGCTTTGAGAGTATGAGACAGCTAACATGGAGCAGTGAGGAAAATGGTGTTTACTACATGATTGGCGAGGAAAAGACAGACGGTGCTGCGTTCCAAGCAGTCAACTGCTACTCTTCCACGAACTTGATTGAGTGGAGCTTCCAGGGGCGCCTCTTGACTCGAACCGAGGAAGCCGGTGACCTGGGTCCCAACCGCATCATTGAGCGACCTAAGGTCACCAAGAACGATGCCACTGGAAAATACGTTCTCCACCTCCACATCGACTCTTCCGACTACAAGGATGCCAAAGTCGGTGTTGCGACGGGCGATAGCGTCTGTGGCCAGTATGAGTATATCCGCAGCTTCCGCCCCTTCGATTTCCAGAGTCGCGATATTGGCATTTTCAAGGACGATGATGGAAGCGCCTACTTGTTGAGCGAGGACGTAAGTCTTAAGTCTGTCTTTTACTGCTAGAAGAGTTGGTCTAACCATCAGACAGCGGGAGTATGGTACTCGCATCATCAAACTCACAGATGACTACCTCGATGTTGCTGAAGTGACATTTGGCTGGCAGTACTTCGCCGAGTCACCCGCGCTTGTCAAGCGCGATGGCACGTACTTCATCTTCGGCTCTCACCTTACGGGATGGAACCCCAACGACAACGTAAGACTCCCTTCACTAAGGTTTGAGTGAAACTTGCTGACATCTTCGCAGGTCTACAGCTACGCTACGTCTCTTTCCGGACCTTGGTCTAACTGGACGGAGTTTGCACCCGTCGGCTCAAAGACTTACAACAGCCAAGTCAGCTTCGTCCTCCCCCTTGGCACCGACAAGGCCATCTACATGGGTGACAGATGGCACTCGACCAACTTGGCAGCGAGCACCTACATCTGGCTGCCTCTTCAATTTGACGGTACTACCGTGACTCTCAACTGGCATGATTCCTGGAACCTCGACACTGCTGCAGGCACCTGGTCCGAGAGTACAATCACATCCGAGATCGAGGGCGAGACTGCCGCGCTTTCGAACGGTGCTCGCATCGTCGACTGTTCGCAGTGCAGTGGCTCTTCGGCCGCAGGGTATCTGGGCGGCGACGAAGATGGAACTGCTACCTTCAACTTCACCGTGGCTACAGCTGATCGGGTCACCCTCGTCGTCAACCACAAGAACGGCGATACCGCCTCTCGACATGCTGCAGTATCTGTCAATGGAGAAGAGCAGGCAGTTGCTTTCCTTTCGACTTCTCATCTCTCTACTACTGGGAGCAGCGCCATTCACGTCAACCTAAAGGAGGGAGAAAATACAGTCACGTTCTCGAGGTCTGAGGGATGGGGTCCGGATGTTGACCAGCTGATAGTGCCTAGCATATAGAGAAATCAAGGTAGTAAACTCTCACTTGCGCTGGATTATAGATACCTCGGGGGTCATTACAAATTGTAGGATTACCGTGATGTTTGGCTCCAGTAAGGTAGAGGAAGCTAACTTTGATTGGAATATCTCCAGATTAAAAACGTTTCTCAGAGCCCCCGACAAAATTACTGAAATCACAGGTGCGATGCTGTAGCCAGGCGAACAATCGAGCTGGGCCTGGTGAAAACATCTAGGTGTCTGATTGCCCTTATCTACCTTAGTCTTCCAAAGTGGGCGCAGGTTCCTCGTCCGCTGGTACATTCTTCCCCTTCCCCCGGTTTAGTCCCCCGTTGACTCGCGCCGAAACTACTTCGAACAGCTCGAAGCCCTGTTTGCTTTTGTCGAAGTCTGCATTGAGATAACATTCTATCATGCTTAGGAGAGTGCATGGATGCTTTTCCCTTTGTTTATATCTGGTACGCCATTCTGGAGAACGGAAACTCCTGACAATTTTCTCCGTGTCTTCGATGGAGTATCCTTGGTAAGGCTTGACTGGCTTGGGGTCGAGTAGCTCGTATCTATCCATTTCTTTAGTCAGGGCTCCAAAGAGAACGCTGCTACATGTAAAGTCGCAACCAGCTGTATCGCATCGGAACGCATCAAGGAGATTGCGAAGCACTCCGAAGATGAACTCGACCGCGTCTTGTCTGCGCCAGTCCACCAAATCTTTGCAATAATTAGCGAGCGAGCAAGTGAAGCACAGATAGAACACTTACCAACGACTATCGAGGGAATAGGAAGTTCCATGGTTTGTATAGGGTCAGCACTTTGCAGCACGGCCAATTCTGTCATGTCTTTGAAGATGGCGTCTTCTCTAAAAACGTGCGATATGAGAAGCCAGAGAACCGAATCTCGACAGTAATGACTTGCGAGATCTTCTCTCAAAGGCTCGATCCACAAAGAATAGAAAACCTCGATGACTTCATGACAATCATAGTAGTCCACAAGGACCGCCAGCTTCGCCAACATCTCGAGATCTACCTGACGGGGCACACTTCTCGTCTTTCCGTGGATGATTTGCATCAGAATCAGGAGCGCTTCGGGATCCCAATCTGTTGCCTCCATGTGATAACAGCCATCAATGACCCTGACCGAAGCTTCAATCCACGGGCCAGAGAGCTTAGTCGAGAAGTACCGGGATGCTAGAGCGAGGTGTCTCGACGATACAAGATATCTCACCTCTAGCTCTTCGGGTGTCTCTGGCTTCGTTTCTTCATATGTCTCCGGCTCTGGGTGTAGCCTTCCATATGCCTCTGGATCTGGCTCTGGCTCGAGATATGCCTCCTGCTCTGGTTCTGGCTCAATATATGCCTCCTGCTCTGGTACTGGCTCGGGATATACCTCCGGTTCTGGTATCAGCTCTTCGTATGGCTTTGCTGCTTCGACGGTTTCAGCATCATCGAAGTTGAATAAGATTGTCTTCTTTTTCTTCTTTTTCTTTCTTATGCCTAAATCCCAAGGATCAAGGGCATAATCTTCCGCTGGGGCTTCCTCCATTGGTGGTTCTGGAACTGATTCGGGTGCAGGAATTTCGTCGTAATTGGGAGAAGAACCGCAGATGTCTTGTGCTACAGGGCTGCTTGTATGTCAGCATCATCCGAGCAGAAGGACGAAATCGACATAGCATTATGCTTACGGTTCCGTCGCCCTCTTTCTTGAGGATGACAGGTCAGCGTCCCATACAGCAAACGAAGCCCCGGGATTGCGAAGCAGAATGACGACGTCCCCATGAGGGTCGATCCGATGGAAATTCGCCTCAGACATACTGAGATGATGTAGGACTGAACTAGAAACGGTTGAGTCTGAACAATTTCCGACATCCTTCGGACGGGGAAAACCTCTCTTCTTGTAGCTCGCTTTTGCCGTTGTTGGCTCGTCTGTTGGGCAAGGCAACTTGCAAGTGTGTGTGGAGTAGATTGACGGCCTCCGGCAGTAGCTGAACAAATCAGAAACTGAGCGGCAACAGCTTGCAGCATCGACAGCCAACAGACCAATCCAGACTTCAGCTGTCATCTCATTGCTTCTAGCTGGAGGCCAGATGGACTGATGATGCATTGTTATTGACCTAGATGCAGCGACTTGCATGTCCAACGAACGTTGCCTGCCGTAATCGCCCTGGCTTGGCGTGAATATTGGTGCCCAAAGCCATTGAGATTCTGATTCTGATTACCCCGCCCCCCCCAAGGTTGTTCTATTTAGTTTCACATAAGACGGGACTGATGATGGACTTTGGTGAATGAATAGATTATTGATCTGTAACCGAATGTTCTACTTTGCGTCCTTATCTTCCGCTATTGTTGATTGAAGAGGCTGGTCTCAAGCACGCCTACGATTGAGCAGAAAAGTCTGTTAAAACTTCCCATCCGGATTTTAGAAGTGCTGCAAGTGTTCCAACTGGCAACCACCTTTTGTTACTTGCCTAAGTTATGGATGGGACTCTTGGAGAGAGTATCAACTCATTCAGACACGACAAAACTTTAGCAAGCGAATCAAAACTACTGTTAAAAAATGGAAATACGGAGTCCAGTAAGATTGAATAGATCAAATGACTGTTGGAGTTTTCACCAGATGAATGTACTAGGGCCGTTTCAAAACCGCGCTGCTGCTGTCCGAGTGTTCACAGTAAGCCAAATTGAGAGCCTTAGTTGAAAGCCACAGACTGAGACCTGCGTCATCCATAACGTCATCACGGTCTGAGCAATGAATCCAGGTAAGCTGTTTTCATTCTATAGAACCTGTCTTGCATTCAACGTACATCGTAATGGTGCGTGACATGCACTGATTGATCTCATTGCTCATCTGAACCCGAGTACTTCAGTATGTCAGAAGTCGACGTCCTCATCGTTGGGGCAGGTCCTACAGGCCTAACGTTAGCCATTGAGTTAGCCGCGAGAAACGTCAGTTTCCGGATCGTGGAATCGAGGGTGGAGGTATCGGATAAATCAAGAGCGCTCGTGGTGCAGCCTCGGACACAGGAGTTACTCTATCGCTTTGGAGACGTCCAGGAACTCATTTCACGGGCACGGCAACCGACCGGCATAGCGACGTGGATCAACCAGAAACCCGTCCTTGACATCACCTTCGGCAGCTCCGATGGAATTGCGCGCGAGTACGGAACAGACTTTCCTCGCCCCTTGTTGGCGTCACAAGCTGAGACGGAGCGCTTCTTGAGCAAACGCCTGGAGGAGGTTTCCGAGGTCTTCCCTGAACGTGGAATTACGGCACAATCAATTACCCAGGATGAGACCGGAGTTTCGGTGGCACTCAAGAAGGGATCGCAAGTCGGACGTCTCCGTTGCAAATATGTCGTCGGCGCAGACGGATCAAACAGCACCGTTCGGGAAGCTGGCAAAAGGTTTCAGTTCAAGGGCGCAGAGTATCCGCAGGAGTTCCTCCTATGCGACTGTCGCGTCAAGTGGAAGCAACCTCAAGCAGGCAAAGCGATGTTCATGCTGGGTCAGGGCTCACTTATTGTCATCCCGCTTGATGACGATGTTATTCGTCTCGCCGGGAGCAGCTGGCTGGGAAAGACGGAAAGAGACCCGACACTCCAGGACTTCCAAGACCAGCTCAACAAGATGGCACCAGGCCAAGGAGAGCTCTTCGATCCGATATGGCTCAGCAAATTTCACTTGTCCAACCGTGGCGTCAACAGTTATCGGGATGGACGTCTGTTCTTGGCAGGTGATTCAGCTCACGTTCATAGCCCCGCTGGCGGCCAGGGCATGAATACTGGCATACAGGATTCGATCAACCTAGGCTGGAAACTAGCGGAAGTCCTGAAATGCAGAAGGAACCCCGAATTTCTCGATACGTATAACAACGAGAGGTCACCAGTCGGAAAGACAGTTCTCGCTAGGACCGACCGCATATTTACGGTCATGACATCGCAGAACTTTGTTGCCACCTTCCTTCGCAACTACCTCGGGCCGATTGTCCAACCTTTCATATTCAAAGACTCTGATCGCTGGAAGATGGCTTACAGATTCTCATCCCAACTCCACATCCGCTATAGAAAGAGCGACATTGTGGCTACTGGCAGCGGCTTCATCGGTCCAGTGCGCGGAGGGGATAGAGCGCCAAACGGTACCTTGATAGGCCCGGACGGGCAGGGGAAGCTGCATGATATCTTTCGTTCTTTGGACTATCAACTCCTTTTATTTACTGGCTTGGGTGAGAACTTCGCATCCGAGAAGGAGCTGAACGCTTCTGCACCTGAATGCGGACCTGTTGATATCCACATCATCTCCAGTCAAGAAGATGTGGGATATTTTGACGAAAACGGGAGCTTGCATAAGTTGTATGGGTTTGACAACCCCGGATACGTCTACGTTCGTCCGGACACTTATGTGGAACACATTGGGCTACTTGATAGAATTGGCGAGCTTGAAACATGGATGAAGAATAGGCAGGCTGATGTTTAGGCTTGCCAGCCTGAGATGCACACTGTCGCAGTTTCCGCTTCAATACATGTAATAATCATTGAGAGTCTAACAGTAGCCACCTTCCTCGGAAAACTGGACAAAATTGAGAGGCTTGTGCTCAAGAACAGGCGGGACTGTTAAAATGCTCCGCGGGAAAGATATCGCCCTCGGGCAAGTTGAGATGCCCCTCAGCCCCGCTACCCGCGGTAAACTCACACATGTTGTTATCATCCCAGATAAATACCCACGGTCCTACAAGATCTAGACGCAAATGTGGTGAACCATTGTCGGTGGTCTCTTTCCATTCTAACGAGCATTGTTATCCATCTATCAATCATTTATCATGGCTACCGAGAGCACAACCGCCTTCTGGGCGAAGACCGACAAGTATCTGATGTCAACGGGCGTCCCTTACTCTCCCGTTATCATCACGAAAGCTAAGGGCACGAAGCTATACGATGCTGAAGGTCGCCAAATCTTGGACTTCACGTCTGGTCAAATGAGCTCTCTGCTGGGCCACTCACATCCGGAAATCGTGGAGGTCGTTCAGAAATATGTCGCTGAGCTCGACCACCTGCTCAGTAACATGATCACTCAACCAGTTGCTGATCTCGCCGAGAGATTGGGCAAGCTGCTGCCCTTTCCCTTGGAAAAGGTAATGCCCCTATCATGGTTCTCAGTTTGTTTGGATCATATTGACTAAGATCCGCCTAAAGTCCTTCTTCCTCAACACTGGTTCAGAAACAACAGAAGCCGCCATCAAGATGGCAAAGCTCCACACCGGCAAATTCGAAATCGTCGCCATGTCCGCAAGTTATCACGGCCTCACATCAGGTTCCGGTTCCGCAACATATTCCGCCGGCCGAAAGAACGGCGGTCCTGCAATGCCGGGCCAGCTCGCATTCCCCGCACCTTACGCCTACCGTTCCATCTTCCGCACTGCCGACGGCGCCTACGACTGGGAGAAGGAGATGGACTTCGGTTGGTCTATGATTGATAGGCAGAGCGTCGGCTCTCTGGCTGCATTCATTATGGAGCCCATCCTCTCCACCGGCGGCATCCTTGACCTGCCCAAGGGCTACCTCAAGCGTCTAGGCGAGGAGTGCAAGAAGCGTGGCATGTTGCTTATTCTCGACGAGGCGCAGACAGGTGTAGGCCGTACTGGCCAAATGTTCGCGTTTGAGCACGACAATACCGTCCCGGACATTCTTTGCCTGTCCAAGACTCTGGGATGCGGCCTACCTCTGGCATCTGTCAGTACGACAGCCGCGGTCGCGCAAGGGTGCAAAGACGCCGGCTTCCTCTGGCTGACGACGCATCTCAACGACCCCCTTACAGCAGCAGTTGGCAATAAGGTCCTCGAGATTGTGGAGCGAGACAACATTTGCCAGCGCGCTACTGATCGCGGAGAACAGCTTCGGGCTGGTCTCTTGAAGCTTCAAGAGAAGTACTGGTGCATCGGCGATGTCCGCGGACGCGGCCTGCTTCAGGGTATCGAGATCATTTCTGATGCTAAGACGAAGGCACCTGGATCAGATCTTGGTCAGGCCGTGTCCGATAGGGCGATGTTCTTGGGACTGTCGTGTAACGTTGTTAATCTGCCGGGTATGGGCGGTGTTTTCCGGCTGGCACCTCCTGTGACTGTGGACGCGGATGAGATCGAGGAAGGTTTGAGGATATTGGATGAAGCTTTCGGCTATGTTTTGGACCAACGAGAGAAGACGATCCCCGTAGTATGAGAAATTAAAAGCCGTTGAAAAGAACGGATTCTCATATGTTGCATTGGCATCCGGCATTTCGTCTCGGTTCTTGACATGATGACATGACCGCGATCCATCAAGTCTGGAAGAAGAACTATATATTCGCCTTGGTAAAAGCCAATCCTGAGTTCTTCAAGTGAGTTGAACTTAGTACTCATCAGCCTTTGTGTACCTCAGCTAATTCAAGACCCAACCGGCTGGCTTACTGTAGGCGGCCTGGGTTGTCCCGGGTGCATGAGGTCTTCGGCTGCCGTGCCGGGATACATCTGACCTGGACCCGCAGGGCCTGGAACCCTAAATCACGATTCATGGCTGCTACTGCCTCCTTCATCGTCAACAACATCCAGCGGCGGACATAGCTCAGTTGGGAGAGCGTCAGACTGAAGTCAACTTCAATCACTTAATCTGAAGGTCGTGTGTTCAATCCACACTGGCCGCAAGGAATAACTTTTGCTCGGTGGTATGGTGTTGGGTCCGCTATGCATTGCTTTTTGAACTGACCAGCGCTCAAGGCAGTCCATAGGAGAGGGCCCATGTCAGCTGGCGGCTGAGCACGGCTCAATTTTGCCCTGAACTTGATTGGACTCAGAGAAAGCTAAAATTGCATCTGTACCTACCGCTAGCGCCATCATTTGCCAGGCTTCAATTTCATGTCCTGTTCAAGTAATGATAACTCGGCGACGAAGAAATTGTTCTCGCTTCAATTATTGCAGCCTCGAAGCTCTTAGCTTTCAGTGAGTTTCGTAATTGAAGTAGATAAAGTTAGTACCTATTGACATTGGGCACGCCAAGGCAATGCTCCAATGAACAAAAGATGACGCTGAGTCCGTGAACCGGCGAGTTTCTGTGCTACAGCACTTATTAGAGGCAAATCTCGAAATGAGGTTGCGGAACTGCTCTTTTTTCGGTCCGGTGTTTGTGTCACGGTCGTGCCAATCCCACATTATGCGCACTTGTAATTGAGGTTCAAGGACTTTCACAGTGCATGCATAGATGATTTCGATTAAACCCTGTGCTGCCAGGATTGATCCTAAGGTGAGAAAGCCTGCCGAGTACTCAGGGCGGACAACTTCATAGCCCTTGCCTCAACTGGCACGAAATCGAACCTCAGATGGCGGCTTGATGAGTTTCCATCTGTTAGTAAGACGATTTTGAGTGAATAGAAATTGAAAAGCAGAATGCGATACTTTGGGCCCTGCTATTACATCAATAGATCACGTTACTCCATCGTCTTGACTGCACCATTGGGACCAAATCCTTTCCCCTTTTTGATAGCTCCACTGGGAGCTTCTCACACAACCGGGACTTCAATTCAGATCACCGGGGGTGACATAGAATGAAACAGACTCGTGTTTTTGGGGTGGATTTGAGCCCGCAGCCAAAGGGGCTAGTTACCAAAGTTTCGATGGCTTAGCAGCTAGCTCACGGTTCGACCACGTTCGTAGACATTTGATGTCGAGCTTTCAACAGAAGTTCCGTGCTCGTGTAGGTTTTTTGAATACTCGTATACGAAATCAATTGCGGAAATTTTCGATTGTCCCTCAGACCAGTAATCTCAATGATCAGGTGGCAGGGGTAGAGCGAGGATGAACGGAAGCACAAAGATACGATTCCTTCGGACTCGTATCCCAAGTTAAGACACCCAACGTGAGGTTCGGCACTCTGATGCGCTCGCAACAAGATCCCATTTATGCGGGATTAGTCAGCAGTCCCTTGCAGCTTAGAACCCTACTTTACTATATGAGCTCCAAAGTAGCTACGACTAGCGATACACGTCAAGCCGACATTATTGGCTTCTGTCTTTGTGTACCATGTTTGATCATTCGGTGACGCAGTTTTTGCTGGTCCTTGTTGTATTATTCTAAGGCATCTATACTTCTTATGAACAATGCATGCGCGAGCTGACCGCTTACTAAGTCTCAATATTGTAGAGGAGTCAGGAGACCTCTGGTACTTCACGTGTGCAGCATTTCGGCGGTTCTCGTAACAGGCCCGAATGACGAATCCGCTAACTTACATGTAGCCAACCTAAATCTACTGGTTGCTAGTACTTTGAAGGTTAGTGCTCCTAGGTCCTTCGGCTTCTATGAAACCTTTTACGCCTGTAGGTGATTTCTCAACCGTCGTTTCTTTACCGCTGGATTGATTCACTTCGAAGCATGCTCTCATGACAAGCTTTCTATCACCCTTCAGCTAGCTTCTATCGAAGGCTTATTTGAGTGTTCTCATCGCGAAGCTTTTCGACATTGGACGTGGTGGTGGTGTCAACTGAACTTTGAGGGGGAACGAGCCAGCATGGAGACATTGCGCCTCTGACAGCGGAGAGATCGGATGAGCTGAGCGGTTCTTGATGGGGCTGTTCAGCTGATTTCACGGAATATTCAGCGTCCAAGTCACTAACGGGGTGCCCGGGATAGTGTCAACTCAATGAGATGAAGATAGCTTCACGGCTGAAGGTAATGGATGCCTCTGACCTCAGTGCAAAGCTTGACAGCAACTGAGCTCGCTTTGGAATTATAAAAAGATGGCCAACTTCCTATGGATGACTTTAGCTATCAAGCTCATCACACATTCTTTTCAGCTCCCTCTTCCACAACCAAAAACCTATCAACGAGCGCTCAGTCTTAAAAATGGCACCCATTATGAAGTTCTTCTATGCTAGTCTTCTCGCAGCTAGCACCCTTACCTCCGCTGCATTCGCCAGCCCTATTGACAACACTGGTGTCGCTATCGAGGCCCGAGGTGAGATACTCTTCCGAGTCATTCTCCACAAATAGTGTCTTCTGATTCCAGGAAAGATATGTCAAGGAATCAAAGCTAATCTCGAGACCTTTTTACAGATGTTAACTTCCTGGCCGAGGGTGTCGAAGCCCCAGTCAGCGTTGAGGTCACCAACAGCGTCGCCGTCCGTAGCGTCGATGGGATTGAGGCATCACTCGAGAAGCGCGTCTTCACTTCTCCCCACGTTCGCAAGGCCTTCAAAGTTGTTGCCGGCAACATGATCTCTGCCGCCTCCTGGGCCTTCAACTTCTGGGTTGAGGAAGACTACACGGGCAAGTCCACGGTCTGGTACAGCGGAGTCACCGGCGGAGGTGTTTCGACCCCCAAGATTGGCGTTGAGGGCGCAACTTTCATCTCCAAGACTGGCACCGAGCTCGACTTGAAAGTTCCGTTCATTGTGAAGGGCTTCTACGCTGGAAAAGAGCTCATCGTCCACTTTGTCGTTCGCATTCTCAGCGATGCTGGAGAAACATCAGTTCAGTACTTCTATGACCGTCCCACGGCTACTATCGCCGGTCAGAACGCCCCCGTCACCAGCTGGGACTTTGTCAACACCAAGTAGGCCCCACCCGTAATTCAAGTTCTGGGAAGCTCTGGGAGAGGCAAATATGCAAGTCAGGTTCAACGAAATATCTTTTCCCTTGTACTTTACATGTAACCATTGTCGAGGGCACAATCTTGGCATAGTAAGATCCACCAGTACTTCTGTACTAAGTCGCATGCATCAGGTCTCTGTACAATGAAACAACCATGAACTTTGGATTTCAGACCCCGAACAACCCCTTGAAGACCGTTCATCTAAATGCATGCATATATCAGCTATCTAGTGTTTCCTTTATTGACTCTTCCCTACCAGTCTTACCAGCTAAACTCAGCTTCAAAGTCGACCATCCTTCCCAGCAGATGTCAATTTACCAAAATTTCCTTTCCCAGATGAATAAGCTGACCATTCCCGAGCCTTACAGCCTATAGCACTCGTTGAACTTCTACCATCTCGATCAAAGGCGAGGGGCTGTTCTAATTGTTGGACCCCGTCGTCTGGGTTCCAAACCCGGGTGTAACTTCTCCGTCTTGTGCATTCTTCTCCAATGACCCCTGACTATGTCTGGCCGGATGTGCTCGTACTCGCATCCAGGATATAGGCATGCTACTTTCGGGACGTTCTCTTGATGGCATCCTTTATCGTGCTTCCTAAGCCCAGAGAGCGTCGCGAAGGTTTTAGTGCAGGTTGGAACTTGGCATCTATGCACCTGTCTCGAAAGGGCCTGGCTATATCCAGTTTCCGATCTATCAGTTACGCAGCCTCAAACTGCGGACAAATGGGACTAGAACCTTACCTTTCATGCGTCTCCGACCTCGCCCGCCCTTGCCTTATCTCCTCGTGCGATTGGTTGGGGGCATTCGTGCTTGAGAGACGGACGCTGGAGAAATCGTGGATCCACTGACGAAACCTCTCATTCTCACGGCCGGCCTCATTGACCTCCTATATGTATATGTCAGAATTGTATCTGGGGAAAACTTCCAATAGCAAGAGCAGATCTTACCCGAGAGACGGTGACCAAATATTCCTGCACATCTTCAACAGTCCCCAGGCTCCCTAGGACAACGAACTCCTTGGCCACTGACAACCAAGCCAAACAAACCTCGTCTCCTGTGCCGGACTTCTTCATCGGATCAAGCATCTCTTTGCGTAGTCTCCTTTCGACTTTTGATCTCTCACTGGCGTACGCGGAGCCTCGCCTGGCACCGTGCACGGTCTTGCCACAGCCTGACAGTCGATAGAAGAAGTCTCCGATATCTTGAGAGAATGCTAGTACAGCTGAGATCATGGAAGTGTATTGCATGTTGCAATCCACGTAGTTGCTCTCTCTGGTGATATTTGGAAAGGCGGTGTTGAGCCCTTCTATGTCAATATCGGGGCCGAGGTCAGCGCCGTGTTCAGCAGATGCCCATGACGTGGGCATGGGGGGTCCGTTGATGGCCGAGAAAGTTTCCAGAGGAACGTCATCCGGTGAGAAATTGGTAGAAAAGTATCCAACCTCTCTTGGGTCGACACCAGATGGCTCAGGAGCTGAGGGAGCGCCATAGGGGCCTGATGCGAGTATCTCTTCGAACCCGCTAAAAGCTTCGAAAAAGTATGAAGTTTCCTGAAAGTGATAGGCTTCGTCCATAGTATCCGTGGTGTCTGGCGACCCAAAGTACGGCTGGTTAGAACCACTGTGGCCATTCTCCGCATCGGCTGTCGTTGTTCTTGGATGATCTGAAGGCCACATTTCCAGCGCTACGGATACGAAAGCCTCCCGATTGTTGATATTCGGGATGCAATGTCCCCATCGCTGAAGATCGGAAAGGGGATTGGTCACAACGATCCGGTCTCGTTGCAACAAGATTTCCGAGATCACATAGGAAAATGAGGCGAAAGCAATGATCTCGGCAAGAGTGTCAGGGATAATTAAATCCAGAGCATCTCGGTGTGCCAGAATGCCCATCTTGCCTAATCCTCTGGAGTTGCCGTAAATCCCTGGAAGCTTCTGGACGATTTCGGAGGATGATTTAGAAGCTATCGCTCCAAGTCTTTCGTACTGGGCCTTCAATCCTTTCTGTAAGCTTTGGAGGTCCGTCCATGCCTGTCGAATATTCTCGGTTGAGCGTTGTGGATGTTGAACTTGGCCTGTCGAAGCGGAAGCCGTGAATTGGCCTGCGAATTGGTGGCCAATATCATTAAGAATAGAATTCTCTCTGAGTGGTTGTTCTGATTGCGGATTGGTATCGGCAGTGTCCAGGCTATCCCGCCGCTTGTCGAGGTATGCAAGGCCTGCAAAAATTCCATCAATGTCAGCTTGAGCTCGTTGTCTTCTCTCGCTGGTATCAAGGGGTTCCACGCTAATAGTGATGGGTCCGTCTTTGTCGCCAAAGAAGCGGCTCAATCTTTCGCGGCGTAAGCGCGGGGCTTCGGGGGTCGCTGCCAGGATGTTGTGTCGATCCGCCTCCATTTTTAGTATCCTCGAAGTCAAGACCCGGTGCCTCGAAGTTGTCTTTCGTGTTGCCTGAACAAAGCAGTGGCTAAACAGTGTATTGGTCGCGGACAAACCTGTTGCCTTATCTCGTTCATAAGTAGGCGATCAAGAAAGAACATGGCCTCTTCAATTATGTTGGCAAGGAAGGCGGGCTTGGTTGATTGTTCCTCCACAGGCAGCATTTCGACGGAGGAACTCTTCACGGCTTGGTTGGGCATCAGGTTTGTTGGTCCTCGTTGGTCCGGTTCCCTTTGGTCCTGGTTGGTCCGGTTCCCTTTGGTCCTCGTTAGTCCCCTATGGACCTGTTTGGACCTGTTTGGACCTCGGGGATCTGGAAAAACGCTAGACTGCTTCAGTGATACTGCAGGCTCAGCCTCTGAGTGCATCAATCAATATGCTCATTGGGCGCATCCGCCCCAAGTAGGTGAATGCGCCCGGCTAAGGTAGGTGTGTTTAAGCATCACGTGCTTTGTATTGGACTTCCATGTCTGCTGTTGTGGTGACCAGCTAGTTTTTGAAATAGCAACGAGATCAAGTCTATCACGCCTTCCCAGCGCTGCCGCAAATATCGATCCACCTCTCCGTCTCCTTCTGCAAGATGTTCATCCCGTCCTCCATCAATTGCGTCAGTGGCTTGTTGGCGTTCTCTCTTAGATGTACGTTCCAAAACTCCAGAAGCAGCTTATTGACATTCAACTTGATGGCGCCGTTGTCGATGCACTTTCTCATAATCTCTGGGCTGAAGTCATTGGTGCCATGCAAAGCCATGAGGACTCGGTTGTTGATTTGCTTATTGACATTTGTCAATCGCTGGTAATCGAGTTGAGGGCCCTTGGGGCCGTAGTCTCCGTGAATGTTGCCGATGCTGGGTGCCAAGAGATCAATCTCGGCATCGATGAAATCTTCAACCTCTTCAGGGCTCGTGAAAAGAGCTATTCAAGTCAGCGGATGAGTTTCATGCTGCACAGGCTCCGAGCCTTACCTTCCAAGTCGCCGGTGTCTGCGATGCCGTCTTCTCCACCGTTGATGCGTCCACTTTCCGCCTCGACAGCAATGTTGTGGTCGTGGCAGACTCTTGTCAAAACCTTGGTCTTGGCGAGATTCTCCTCATGATCGTAGTGGCTCATGTCGACCATGATTGAGTCGAATGGCAGCGTTCCTGCGATGTCGCGGATTTGCTGTTCGTCTTGGGCGTGGTCGAGGTGCAGGGCAAGTGGGACCTTTGCTGATTTGATGGCAGCGGCGACGGCCCATGGGAGAGTCGGGAGCTGCTTGACAGTAAGGGGGAACAAAAGAATCAGCATAGGCGATTTCTTGGCCTCCGCTGCGCGAACAACGGCAGTGAGATGCTCAATGTTGTAGCTGAAATATAAAATATTAGTACCATACTCTCATAATACGTGTTCTGGAAGCTGATAATACTTACATGACCACGGAGAGAACTCCATATTTGCCCTCAGTCGCGGCTTGGAGAATCTGTAGACTGCGATTTTGTGACTTGCTTTCCGCCCAGGACGACATTTTGATGATTACGTGAGGTGGATGATTCACTGAAGCTGAAAAATAGTTGGAAGATCAGCAGAGCAAACGAGTTCTTTAGATCAAGCTTTTGACATGCAGAGAACGATCACTACTTATCATTAGACCTGGATGAGTTGTGTCGTTGTGAGCTCGGCGGAATGGCCGATGCCCCGCGTTCCATCGCTGAGAACCCCGCGACGAGAGTTTCGGGAGTGGGACTGGGGAGTACGTACCTAAAGACGCCCTTCGATTTCCGGAAATGCAGTGAGAACGCCGCAATTCTCACCTCCGCCATTTCGAGACCGAGGATGGGAACTCGAAGATCATGAATGCTTCAGGTTCTCGAGGGAAAATCCCACTCTTCTCAATTTTGCGCTGTTCAATTTGCGGCCACCTTGAGCTAAGCTAGATGCTGCCCTACAAGAATATCGACAGAAACTGACGCGAGTCGGTTGAATCCCGATCGCCAGCGAGTTGCTGTGCTCTCACGGAACTTCCGTACCGTCAATATTTGACTGCAATCGTTAGGTACATGCAGCAAGGCCTGGTCGACTGACGAGATAAGCCGTCGAGTTCCCACGTTCTCCTGCTTCATCTCAGAATGTCCCGCTTAGAGCAGATGACTGCGAGCGCTCACCGTCCTCAATGTTGATGGTCGCGCGATTCACTTCGGGTACGCGGCACACCTCACTTCAGGGCGATTTTAGCGGGCGAAGCCGCCAAGTCCTGAGTTGGCATTCGACTCATCCAACTCCCAGACACGCAACCTCTGAGTGTGTCACAAACCTTGTGGGATAGTCGACCATACAGACTTTATGAGTATGAGGCTCTTGTGAGACGTCTTAGCATTCTCCATCTCTTTATGTTGCATTCTCACAATAATCGAGCGTTCACACACAGTCGCACCTCAGGGCTGAGGCCCCGATGCCTGTCTAAGTATAGCCGCCGTTGCCTGTGGCCTCCATTGTCCAGGTGATGGTCGTAGCTGACCACGAGGAGTTAGCGTAGGCTGATCCTTCTGCACGCTACCCGCACACACCGCGCAATCTCCAATCTGAGGTGAAGGTCCTCTGAGGCTCGGTCCGCAGCTTGTTTTCGGGACTAGGGGAAATTGAGGCTGGTGAACAAGCCAGCCTGCCACCGTCAGCAATAATGATGCAGCCTGGTCACGCAGACTCACAGGGGTTCGGTCGCCTTGGTGGCTGCATAAGCAAACAGGCGTCCGATATGATGACTGCGCTGTCGAGAATTGAAGACAAACAGAATGAGCTTGGCAAGGATCTCATTGTTCCTTAAGCGACAGTGTCCCAGGTCGCTTTTCGCAAGAAATCTCCATGTCATTTCCTCGGTAGATCAGAGTGATGAAGCACAATGTCAGAGTACAAGGACTGGACGCGCGAGACTGAGAACGCGGTCCTCGACGAAGTAGCCGCCGCTCAGAACGACAGCCCCGAGCGCACCGACCCGCCTCAGACGTTGCCGCCTGGCCAGCCATCGGAAGACACGCAAGTTGACAGAACCGAGTCGCCTCCACGACCTAGTACTTCATCACATTGGGAACCCAGACCAGGCTTCGCGCACATCGACGGCGATGTCAATGGACGTGGGTACAACGAGACTTTGGTCGACATCGTCTGTGTGCCGTGTCCCGGAGCCGACCCAGTCGAGACATGGGCCCGCGACCCACTGCCGGAGGGATACTTCGGACGGGCCGCTGATGTGCCGCCGACTGCGTTGAAAGAGCTCGCGGGAGCGAGTATTCTGTCACCGACGATCAACCGACATCTTCCCAAGGCGACCCATCTGTGGGTGAGGCAGGGGATTCGGAAGGAGGTTAGCGAGGCTCGCGTGCTTCTCTACCGTCATCGCGAGTTAATTGAGGGGGTTACCCTTGAAGAGCTTGCGAACGATTTGATTGAACAAGTTTGGAACACGAGATATGGCAACGTGAGTGTTTGACAACATTTCTTCTTGAGATCCACGGGATAACATAGCTTCAGCAACGGTCTCGTCCGTTGTTCTTCATCGCGCATAGTGTTGGCGGCTTAGTTGTCAAGCTGGCTCTTTTGAAAGCAACCAAGAGCGAGTATTTCAAACCATTTATGTATAACTGTCATGGAGTTACCTTTTTCGGTAAGTTCGACGTCCTATTTGAAGACATCGGGATACGTCTAGATGCTGATGCCGGTATAGCAACTCCGCACAAGGGCTCAAGTTACCTGTCAATGAACAACTTGGAGGACAGTATTCGCCACCTTCTTCGCCTCCAACGACCACTTCCACGCTCAATCTCCAACAATTTGAGACTAGGCCACAAGCCTCTTCTCAAGATGGACGAGGAATTCTCGACAATCGCAAGCGAGCTCAGGATATGGTCCTTCTATGAGACCATCGACTCCCAGCTTTCAGGCTCTGGGTCTACGAGTAGAGGCTTAGCGAAGGAAGTTCGATTCGGCGCCCCCATTGCCTCCATAAAGTCATCATTACTTGGCGTTAGGCAGGAGCGGGTCTTCTCGTTGGACAGCGAACATGCCAATTGCGCCTCTTTTGGTGAGGGGAACACAGAAACGATGAACACTTACCTACATGAACTCTCTGTAGCGGTTCAAAAAGCTACAGAACTGAGCTCCCAGTACATTCACACTCCGCTGAACCTCAAGAGACATGTTAAGGTCGAGATAATTGGCTTCTATGAAGACCCAGATGCAGACATGGAGTCCGCCATTCGTCTTTACTTCACAAAGCTTCATCTCCAAGAGTTTCTGGACAAAGGTCCTGAACGATGCCTGGAAGAACGGCTGAGAAGAAGCACACTCCGGCCGCGGTCCGATCCCAATCCGCCCCATCCAAGCCAGGCAGACTCACAACATAGTTCTCATGGCCTGGGAATTATGGCTGGCTTCCAAGAGCTGGGGCAAAAGATATGGCGAGCTGGCTCGGACGCTGGGAGTCGGCCCAAGAGCTCCGACTCCGAAAGTCAGGGCTCGCCCGGCATCGTCGTCACTCGTCCATCAATGGCTGGAGGCTCTAATTCGATGCCTGTGGATACTCTACGGCGAATGCAAAGCCTCAAGGTCCCGGCCTTGTCTCCGCCGGGGTTCAATCGGCCATCCAGTCGAGGTAGCAACGCCGACAGCACGAGGTCAGATCCAACAGAACTTGAGCTGTCGCCGAAGGCGCCAGATCCCGAGCCTTTTGCATCAATAGGTGTAGAGAAGAGCTATTCAGAGCCACTTTCCAGACGACAAGACCGGTACTCGAGGGCTTCTGCCTTGGAGGATCTGACGGCTGGGTTTTCAAGGCCTGACCCGACCGGTAGAAAGTTTATGTGGATTCACACTCCATTCACCAATCCCTCTTGGGTCAAGGTAAGATCGGGACCGCAATTCCTCCCTCGGCCGAGCTAAAACCGCAATACAGGATGTTTTCAGTGTCCTAGCCAACCCTAACGACCC